TCGGCACGTATGCGTCCAGGAGAAGAAGTCTACAGTCTTCAGAAGATACGAGAATTCGGAATAGATAACTTTCATTGTCAGACGATGCCACAGTTTCTGACGACCAGTGAAAATAAATGCAGATCAGAGACCAAGAAAGACTATCTTTGTTGTCCGTCGGAAGGAGCGCTGCAGCTCCTACGCCAGTTTCAATGTTATAGCGAAACCCAGCTCACAAATTCAACCCTCTAGATGATGGATCACCCTTTGTATTATAATAAATTAAGGCATCTAGGACGCCACGGTCACTAGATTGATGTCCCGGTGGTTTTTGCACGATTTTCCTGAGTCCTTTTGAGTATATTGAGTATAGTGGAATAAAATCATCAATTTGGCCAGAACAAACAACTTCCTCTTCAAAAGGTGCAGAACTGTGTGCTTCGATGCAATTAAGCAACAGAATTACCCGCTGGAATTTCATTGTCGATGTCAAATGAAACCCAACTTTCGACTCGAATTCATCTGGTCCTTCCGGAAGTAGTGTTCTTCCGAGCGTTCAGTCCATAGTTTAGGACAAGGTTTTTGTGAAAACCTGAGGTCTCACCTTCCTTGGAGATCTGTTACCAGCATCCATTTAATTGAAAAAGCACTGTAAGCTAAGAAGGGCTGGACAGATACTAAACCAAATGTCTGCGTTCTCAACAATGGCTTGCATCTGGGGTTGGTTTTTCAAGAAATTTAGGCGAATGTCTTGGGATAACGGAGTGACCTCTGAACAGCAGATACCAGCAGACTGATTACTAGCTGCCTACTGCCTAATGAACCATAGAAGATACTTAGGTCCGTGTTTCCCGATTCTTTGATCTACCAAATAGTGTCGCCGCAACTTCAGGTGACCTAACAGATGAAATGAGCCACAAAAATCTGGCCAGTTTGGAGTCACGGGGTCAGGGTGGACTTTCTTACTTAGTTGCGGAGATGAAAAGCTGAGATCAAGAGAGACTTTCAATTTGTTTATTCTGTGCGAATATGTTACCACTCTTAAATGTTACATCTAGGGAAAATGATAACATGGTCCATTCTAGATTTTTGCAACCTGCGTTCTGACAGAAAGTTTGGAATAGCTATACTCTAGCAGGGAATGTTTCAGGAAACCTTTTTCTTTAGACAGCTCTTAGGGGACGAACTTTTTTCACCGCGTTTATAACCGAACCTGCGTGTAAAACCCAAATAGTGGAAGTGACAGACACTCCGATCTGAAGCGGATAGCACGGATGTCTTTTGAGCAGAATGGCTAAGAAAGTTGAACTAGTGTTTTATTCTTTCTGATAAAACATACCTGATATAAAGTAAAAAGTTTTAAAATGCGCCCAAACGTTCTCTAGTAGAGACATAACGTTTAACCTTACGTTTTCAAAGTCACTCACAATAGTATCACAAAACTTTCCCTCTGTCACAACCAAGCATTTTCTCAGCAATTATAGGACCCAAATGGCTGTCTTAGGCGGCTGTCCATGCCAAATGGTCTAACTTCCATTCTAATAGGTTTGTAAGACAACGATTTATTCTCCTTTTATGTCACTGAGTGGAATCATGAATAAATTTCAGAAGTTCTGGTAGATCACAAATGTTTGTCTTCCTCACAGATTTTGATTGTAGTGTAATCCAGAGGTTTGCAGCCAAGTTGATGTTATGGTCAGAAGTTACGAACGACTTTTAGACTTGCTATTTGTGATCGATTACGAGCAGCATTTGCATCGAGTCAAGCATTCCAAAGTATTGATCATCCATGAGCATCTTAAACTCAGTTGTCCCAACAACATTTAAATTTCAGTCCCAGAAACAAAAAGTTCGGTTGCTTTATTAGAATGATAAGAAAGACGTTGTGCGTAAAGCCGTCCACGGTGAAATGCTAGAACCAACCAGTTTTCTACCGCCGTGCAAATTAGGGAGAATGATTCTGTCTGCAGGGATTGCGTACAATCAGAAACAAATTAGAGCATTCATAGTAACAATATCTATAGATGGCCTAAAAACACTGAAGTATGAAAAATGGCTGCAAAATGGATATGGGAACATTACATGAGATATTCTCCTTGTGGGAGCTATTGTTGTACTCCGGCCGTTTCCACCAGTAAGCGCTAGGTCAATTTGCTGTATATCTAAACGAGAGCTTGTTCTCTGGTTCTCCATTCCTTTTTCAAGGCAGCCACCAACTCAGTTCTGGGGTCATAAACGTATTGTACCTCTGTGAACCGTGAGCTATGAATTTAGACGGAATCACAAAAGCCAAAAATTGGTTACTGTAAATACTTCAAACGTTACACAAAACGTCAAATCTCGATATGTTGAGGAGCCTGCGCAGCCCATTTTCGTCTGCACGTCCGACCCTCATAAGCGAGCGTGACAGGGAATGACATCATAACACCATATCCTTCGAGTCTATCATCATCCCCAAGTAAAGGGTCTATACGTACTGAACATGAAATTCACGTATTAATTTCAGGATACGCCTAAGATCGTCCTAGCATAACTCATTCTATGCTATATTGCTTGGGCGTTGTTAGAATTTTTTCCAATTTTTGACAATTGCTGGATAATGTCGCAGTCACTTTACGGGGAACTAACCACGAGAATTTTGTGACGTATCGGGTGCGCACGAAATGTATGGTGGCCTAATAAAGCTAGCCCATTTTGAGAAAAATATGATGTCTTTCCGCCAACAGACCACAAAAATGAATGCAGCTAACTAGCGACCACAACGGATAGCAATAGCTCAAGGAATCCATCTATCAACTTTCCGATGGAGTATCTTGAACTGAAAGCATTTCGTTAGATAGATTATAGCAAATGCCTTGTTTGGGACCTTTTAAATAGCCTGAATTTCCGAAGGATAGTGACAAATTATGAATTGAATACTTTGCGTGTATTCCGTCAAATATGGCCTTCATATGTTTAGCTCAGCTCTAGTTATACGATTTCCTATTTCCAAGTCTCTCACCATTTGTTATCAGAAGCCCCCAGGAAAATATCAATATTGTGGAGGTTGAAGTGACTTCCATCTTGTGGCACTCTCCTTTTGAAGGTACCCATCTTCCGTTACGTTTGTTTCGGACGTTGCCATTACAATAATCCAGAATAACTTGTGTTCCTCCTTTTTTCAGATTTGGTTGATACTACGTCTTGGATGTATTACAAAAAACCCCACCTACTGAAGTTGATATCTGTGAATTTAATTTTTGGAAATACAAACGAGGCATAACTGCCCTGAAACTCGGTCTTCTTTACTTATATAAGTTTCATAGTCAGGTTACTTTAGTGAGCCATAATTCAACAACAGCTTAATCGCTCTACCTGACATCCACTGAAGACGTTTACAACCTATATGCAGTCTTTTAAATCCCCAATAAAGGGACTGACCAAAAAGATCCGATTTGATGGTGGGGTAAACCTGAGGAAATATAGTGCTGGACTAAAAACAGCCAGGGAAAGATACGACTGTATTTACTGAGGCATTAAATCAGCACCGTGAATGATCAGATGCTCGACTACCTAAACCAGATACATTGTAGTCTCGCAAGCAACTTAAGAAAGTTTGTCAATTCTGACTTAGGAGACCAAACATGAGCGTTGCTATTGAATTGGCACCACGTTTATCAGAACCGGTGGAAAATCTACAATACGAGTTATTTCTGGTAGAAGAATCAGCAAGCGACATTAAAAGATAACAATGGTGGTTAAGAATGAACAGCTAATTTCTCAACTGCTCTTCCATCAGAAGAGTCCATAAAAAAGCGGCTGATATTGGACAAATAAGGCTTTACTGCTCTCAACAAACGCTTCAAACTGGGGAAATTAGAAATGATCCCAAATCAGCTACATTATATGTTACATTGTTTTGCAGAAGCTCACCATTTATTGGTAAGTCTTGTGTTAAAAAGACTAAGGTAACCGAACTAGATTATCATTAAAACTGCACCCCCTGGAAGTGTTCCGCTACAAAATTGAAACCTCACAGAGCCTGGCGATGAACAAAAATTTAGGAATAGTGTGGTAACAATCGGCAGATTTATTGTTGGACAACGTTTCGGTTTTGACACAAACGCTTCGTCAGACCAAGTGATTAGGTTAGAGGTCGGCTTGAGAATTAGAGTGGAAGGAGAACCAATCAGCTAAGCCAAGTCAAATCTGTGTTAGGTGTCGGCCAAGGGATCCGGTGTGTTGGGGTGAGTCACCAAGTGTTAAGTTGATGGGAAATCCTAGATGGATTTGGATCCAGCTTAGAATCCAATGCTTGTGTTTCACGTGATGATCAATCTCGAACGTCATTTGCACTTTTCGCCCGTCTGTCTAGATGAGCTAGTGTTACAATGGCTCTGTGAGGAGGAGGGGGTCTGTGACCTTTGTTCTGTTTGATTTCCACCCTCTGTGTTTGCTAACGATTCCACGCGTTGACAACCACACAGTCACGTATAAACTCGGTTTAGTTAAGACCGCTCCCCATACGCTCCACCGCTGTGATGTTTGGTAATTCCCAGCGCCTCGGCTATCAGCTGCTGTGTTGTGAATCGCAGTCTCCTTATTATTAAAACTCCCACATTCTACTTCTGCTCTACTACTGCTACCGGTAATTTGTCCATCAGCGGCGTGTTACCTGACCTTTTGAAAACAGTCGCTCTGTCTTCATACCTATACGGGCCTTCGTAATGACAACACTGTCTGCCTGTCTCAGCGTGTTCAACGATCTCCGTTCTGATGATGAAGTATTCGAAGCTCCCGGCTGTTGAAATTTTAGGACCATGACGAACTGTATCCGTAGTTTCTCAGTTTCCGCTGAAGGAAGCTTTTGAAACGATTCGATATTAGTAATTAGTTCTTCCGCTCTTGTTAGCTTTGTGCTCACAGAAAAGGACAGTCCGTTTTCTAACAAACAGCATTGGTCTTTACCTAGTGGCCTACCTGAGAACTTAACCACCTGCAGTAATTAAGGGACGGTTTCGTTAATTTTGTGACCTTTCCAGAGTCATGAAAAACAGCTGGTCGAACTTACGTATCTGTCTATCGTTGTAATGCCGGCCCTGCGTATGCTTCACTTCGGTGGCTTTGGTGTTGAGCGGAAGTCGGCGAGTGAGGATGCGATCCTAAGATCGTGGCTGAGCGGCCTGGCGCGGCGGCGTTTATCGGTTAATAACTGGGTAGTTTGGCGGGTCCTCTGTGTAAGGAAGGAATTGGCCACTGACAAAGCCATTTTTGCAGAAGCAGCAGACGTATCCGGTGGCTTCACGATCAGGGATGTGGGAATAATATTGTACTTTAAACGTCTAACGTTGAAAACGCTATGATTCGCCCATGTCGCCTCCAGTCCGCCAATCGAACGTACTCGCTTGACATTTTTCAAAAATGCAGTCCGTAGGCTTGTTCAATCAGTTGAAAAAACGCTTGGAACCGATTGAGTAGTGATCGTTTTCGGAAAAGCTTCGTACATTATATGTTACATTGTTTTGCAGAAGCTCACCATTTATTGGTAAGTCTTGTGTTAAAAAGACTAAGGTAACCGAACTAGATTATCATTAAAACTGCACCCCCTGGAAGTGTTCCGCTACAAAATTGAAACCTCACAGAGCCTGGCGATGAACAAAAATTTAGGAATAGTGTGGTAACAATCGGCAGATTTATTGTTGGACAACGTTTCGGTTTTGACACAAACGCTTCGTCAGACCAAGTGATTAGGTTACGAGGTCGGCTGAGATGTAGAGCGGAAGGAGAACCAATCAGCTAAGCCAAGTCAAATCTGTGTTAGGTGTCGGCCAAGGGATCCGGTGTGTTGGGGTGAGTCACCAAGTGTTAAGTTGATGGGAAATCCTAGATGGATTTGGATCCAGCTTAGAATCCAATGCTTGTGTTTCACGTGATGATCAATCTCGAACGTCATTTGCACTTTTCGCCCGTCTGTCTAGATGAGCTAGTGTTACAATGGCTCTGTGAGGAGGAGGGGGTCTGTGACCTTTGTTCTGTTTGATTTCCACCCTCTGTGTTTGCTAACGATTCCACGCGTTGACAACCACACAGTCACGTATAAACTCGGTTTAGTTAAGACCGCTCCCCATACGCTCCACCGCTGTGATGTTTGGTAATTCCCAGCGCCTCGGCTATCAGCTGCTGTGTTGTGAATCGCAGTCTCCTTATTATTAAAACTCCCACATTCTACTTCTGCTCTACTACTGCTACCGGTAATTTGTCCATCAGCGGCGTGTTACCTGACCTTTTGAAAACAGTCGCTCTGTCTTCATACCTATACGGGCCTTCGTAATGACAACACTGTCTGCCTGTCTCAGCGTGTTCAACGATCTCCGTTCTGATGATGAAGTATTCGAAGCTCCCGGCTGTTGAAATTTTAGGACCATGACGAACTGTATCCGTAGTTTCTCAGTTTCCGCTGAAGGAAGCTTTTGAAACGATTCGATATTAGTAATTAGTTCTTCCGCTCTTGTTAGCTTTGTGCTCACAGAAAAGGACAGTCCGTTTTCTAACAAACAGCATTGGTCTTTACCTAGTGGCCTACCTGAGAACTTAACCACCTGCAGTAATTAAGGGACGGTTTCGTTAATTTTGTGACCTTTCCAGAGTCATGAAAAACAGCTGGTCGAACTTACGTATCTGTCTATCGTTGTAATGCCGGCCCTGCGTATGCTTCACTTCGGTGGCTTTGGTGTTGAGCGGAAGTCGGCGAGTGAGGATGCGATCCTAAGATCGTGGCTGAGCGGCCTGGCGCGGCGGCGTTTATCGGTTAATAACTGGGTAGTTTGGCGGGTCCTCTGTGTAAGGAAGGAATTGGCCACTGACAAAGCCATTTTTGCAGAAGCAGCAGACGTATCCGGTGGCTTCACGATCAGGGATGTGGGAATAATATTGTACTTTAAACGTCTAACGTTGAAAACGCTATGATTCGCCCATGTCGCCTCCAGTCCGCCAATCGAACGTACTCGCTTGACATTTTTCAAAAATGCAGTCCGTAGGCTTGTTCAATCAGTTGAAAAAACGCTTGGAACCGATTGAGTAGTGATCGTTTTCGGAAAAGCTTCGTAACAGTCGGTGGATTTATTGCTGGGAAACGTTTCTTATTTGACACAAAAGTTTGTGAGCCTCTCAAGAGGGAATAACACGTTTGTAGACTATTTCTAAGAATGCAAGACAGATCCGTAAACTCTAATAGCACAGCGACAGTACTGTCTCCAACGTTCTCCAATTCAATATAAAAGGCAGCCAAACGAAAATAACCTGGGCAAACTGCTTGACTATTTCGATCGCTTTTGCTTAAGTGAAAAAGTAACTTGTCCCTCTATTTTAGCGTATGGATTATCTGGCCAGTGTATCCGCCAAAGATCTCGTCACTAGAAAAATATAGACTCATTGTAGCGTTTTTTCCCAACTGCCTGATGATACTCACTGGTCCGGTTCGCCGTATGTGAGCATACCGTAACTATAGTCTACTGCACATATTTCCTTTCGCCCGCAACGTGCGGTTATTTTTCCGAAAGTAGGTTGTTCGTTATTGGAGGTCTATTTCTGTGAGACGGACCGTTTTGTATAGTATCAACTATAGATATATCTGCCCTATCATATAAAGGCAGCTTTTTCTGAAAAGCCTTTGTGTGACGTACGGTCGTCGTCACAGTCAGAATTATCAGCGAAGCGCACTGCCGAATCTGGATATGACTATGCTTACAGCTACCCACAGCCATATGCTGATTTCAGGAGAAGAGAAAGGAAGCCCTTGGGCAGATGACTGACAAATTAACGGCACAAGTGAAGGACTCTATAAAGTCGAACAATCAAAGAAGCAAATTTGTTTTGTCGGCACCGGACCCAGTGAAGGAGAAAGATGCTTCACGGAACTAACTGTTTAACCAACCAAGACGTGAAGAAATTTTGAGCATACTCCTAGGACATACTTACAGGGAATTGCTCACCAGAACTGGTGAGTCTAAAAGGACGATAAACAGACCATCAAGAAATGCGGAAGAATGCCAAACGCTGATCAAAGACTCAGCGATGGCGGCACACGTGGAATAGATTTGGAGGATGTGGGAGTTTTAATAATAAGGTGACTGCGATTCACACCACAGCGGCTGATAGCCGAGTCGGTAGAAATCACCAAGCATCACAGCGTGAATAGAACTGAGGGTGCGGACCTACGGGGGAGCGTATGGAGAGGGGTCTTAAATAAACCGAGTTTACATGTGACTGTGCAATTTTCAATGCGCGTGGAATCGTTAGCAAACACAGAGGGTGTAAGTCAAACAGAACTAAGGTCACAGAACCCCTCTTCCTTACACAACTATTGTAGGTAGCACTAGCTCATCCACACAGATGAACAAAAGTGCAAACGACGTTCGGGAGGGATCATCACGTGAAACAGAAGCACTGGATTCTAAGCTGGATCCAAATCCATCTAGGATTTCCCATCAACTAACACTTGGGTGACTCACCCCAACACACCGGATCCCTTGGTCGACACCTAACACAGATTTGACTTGGCTTAGCTGATTGGTTCTCCTTCCGCTCTACATCTCAGCCGACCTCGTAACCTAATCACTTGGTCTGACGAAGCGTTTGTGTCCAAAGCGAAACGTTGTTCAACAATAAATCTACCTACTGCTACCACACTGTTCCAGTAATGCTGACCACTCGATCGTTTCCATGTATTTTTTTTTCAACTATTTGAATAATTCCGCTTCTCATAATTCTTGACGTTACAAAAGTTCATAAATTTGCCCCCTTATGTTGCCGTTTTCTCCTTCCTGTCGGTAATGCATTGGAATGTATACTGGCAGGTCGAATACCTTGATTGATGTCGGGTTACACTAAAAGCAAGCATTGAACTTGAAGCTTCTCTTGCATTCTGATCTATGGTTCAAAATACTGAGCAAATATACCTTCGTCTATATGGTTTACTGGACTGAAAATAGTGCATGCAAATCAATTTGAGTTACCTGATATTATATTCGTAGTGTTTTTAGCATTTTGGGTTTTGCTGTTGCAAAGTTACATTGGAATGGAATGGGGTAAAACTTATTCATTTTTAAGGAAACAGTTCCTGAACACCAGTGACGGAGGAACCTTATTAAGTAATGTACCCACAAAACTGTCTTCGTTGTAGTTGTTGCCAAATGTTTGATGACACATCGCGAGAACCGTAGAGGGACCGCGTGACCCAATCAAGCACGTTTGGAATGATTAATCATCATGTGTTTACTTTTACATTAAGTCTATTATTTTTACGGTCTAAGTTTAGAAATGATGAAGGACAGATGGGTTCAGAGTCTTGTCCGTAAATCTTCATTTGTATTACGTTAACGCTGCATGCCTTTGCTCGGTAAGTTGGTGGCAACATTCCGACATGAGTACTGCTCGTTCCCGTTTGTGCTGGTGGGAAAGTTGGCTTCATGGCTAAAAGAATACTGTGGACGAAATTCTGGCTATTGTATGGATGTGACTGTATTGTGCTAACCTCAATCATTCCAGTATACATATTTTACATAACATTAAGTAGGAAAAACACATGATGTATTTAATGAGGCGTTAATTGCTCGTGGGAAGTTCACTCTACTAGGACAAAGATACAACAAATGGGAGAACACGTCGCAACGGGATAGTAGCATAAAAGTGAAGATCTACTCAGACTGCAAAACAATGTTGCCAGATGATTTTCAAAAAAATACCAGGAAATCTAATGTATTAGAATTTTGGAACGGTTGTGCTTAATTCTAAACTCTAAGCAAATTAACATTTTCGACAATGTCGACTGTGTACTTAACGTAAGGAAGCAGAACGATAAGGGAATTTCGTCTAATCTATGATGCTGTTATATAGTGGTGCAATCACATTTACTGAGTTGTTCCTTAAGAGCATTTATCATCCAGTAGTCAGAAAGTTACTTGAATTAACTGAGTAGACCAATAATTTCTTACAAAACCATATTAGCTACTTATACACACTTATCTGAGGTCTTGGCGTCCACAGGGAACTGCCCAAAACGGTTAACTAAAGATTCAGCCATCGGGTTGCTGTATGTCCGCATGGTGAGTCTAAATAATCGCAACAGCACTCCTATGACTAAGATATTTCGACCTCCACGTTCGATGTGTCAATTTTGCCAAAGGCTGGACAAACTGTTATCAGCTGCCTGGGAAATACACATGATAAATCATCGTTAATGTTACACTTTGCTTAGAAATTATCAGGTTTAAGTTCCCAAACATATTTTACTGCAATCTGAAACTACTTGCTGAGACGGCGATTCAATGTTTTCCAGTCGTTCACTATACTCGGTGTTGTTTCAGTAGTAATCAAGCGAACCGCCCGAAATGTTATGCTATATTGTTTGATGCCTCTGTTGCAGTTCTGCTTTAAATAGGCTGAAGTTTAAAACTGACATTTGAAAACAAACCTGCCGCAATATTTTTGAGTGGTGCCTAAGTGCGTGTGTGTCATGATGCTTTTGGTTGACCTTAATATTCGACACCGTGCAGATTGTTCATGCCCGTCTCACCCACATCAAAAAACGCATGTGGTCTCTTATCAACAGGGATTTGGGAAATAGGATCCCCAGCCTATTCAGCATATTAACCATTGTGTTGCAAACGTCAATTGCAGTGCAATTTTTAGATGCTACCACGGTTAGTTGTAGCCCCACATGTGCAATAATTTGTGCGTCACTCCTTTTGCTGTTTATATCATTCAAGTGTGCAGATGAATTTTAAATTCGTTGATTAAACTTAATCAATCCCATCAACCTCACCTTGATTGGTGATAAGACGCTTGCAATCCAACTGCTCAGCTTGGTAAATAGACCAACAACCGAGGAGTGCACCCGAGATATCTATATTCTACAACACTGCCAATCCATCTATGTCCAAAAAATGACAGCGATAACCTATCCTTCTAGATTTTATCCGTGGTTACAAGAAAGACGTGGGTCTAAAATGCATGAGCAAACCTCTCGTGTGATATTATCAATGAGACAAAATCAGTGCTTTTTCCCGCCTATTATTATCTGACTGCAGAGCTATTATTACCATAAATCAAAAACAAAGCAAAGCACTTTTTTGAAGTCAGAATGGTCAATATTATGCTCCTAGGATGATGCTATATGACAGCGTGTGTATTCACCTTGCCGGGTCAATAAGGACTTTAGTTTGATTCGCTGCAGCAGTTCAACGATAACGTTGAATTACTGTCCACTTGGTACACCATAAGTCCCCGACTGTTTAATTACATCTCACTGATCCAGGCTTGGGCAACTTTACAGCGTTGACTAGGAAGCACTTGCGATGTTCAGTACCGAAAACAGGATGTGAGTACTTATGTTGTGGAAATTAATCATCTGATGTCCTAGACGCTATATCCAGGTCGTATGCATGGCGGTACCATCAGACAAACATACATAACAGGTCAAAAAACGTAAGATTGCAAAATAAAGTTTTCGCGTTTGTCTCATACCTCCGACCAAACGACTTGATTTCCCTGTGCGGCTAACTTCATTTAGGCGCTAGAGGAAATTGCAACCATGTAGGAAAGCTTAAATACCTCATTTCAGAATGAATGATTTCGATGCACTAAGGGCATACATTTGTATTTCCGAATGAGTGATAGCTAAAAGTGCATGCATGCTATCTGGCATTTCAACATGGCACTCCCCAAGTGCCCTTGAAAGTCACCTGACAGACGTGTTAACAACACACAAGTCCATAAAAGGTGTGTTCCACGTAAGGTTTCCGATAAACAGCGTGGATAACTTGACCGGCCAATCAGTGCTGAATTAACCGTCTGTGGCTTGAGCAATATGCTACTCAATGTTGTGCAGTTGTAACCATTCGTTCAGGTTTCCTTACTCTCATGTTCAAATATAACCGTATGCCATCTGGTGATAATGAGATGAGGTT